TATATATATATATATATATATATATATATATATATATATATATATATATATATATATAAAGTTCCAACACCCAAATAGAAACAAAGTCGATTATCGGCCAAACAAGAGCATAATCCTTGTCATTGTTTGATGAAACTTAACCACCGGCCACTCACACCACCGTTCCTCATCTTTCTGCCAGATTCCTCCTCTGTACATAATATTTGCACCACCATGTACAACTAGGGATGACAAAAAACCCCATACCCGATGGGGAACCCGAAACCCGTACCCATTTTGACTGGGGAATCCCCAAGTTGACCGGGGATGGGGGCGGGGATGGGGAATCCTCGAATAAAAAAAGTGGGGATGGGGATAACCCTAATCCCCGACCCTAGACCCGCCCCTGATATCTATTAATATAAAAAACAATAAAAACATATATTTATAGTACAATTTACAATATATAAAACTTGATCCAAAGTAACCTAACTCATTATAATTACTTGGTTGAAATTATACTTTTTTTTCTTTTATCTAATTTAAACTCGTGTATAATTTTTTCTCTATTTGGTTTATCTATTTTACCTCAAATATCACTCTGATAACTTTTTTCTATTTGATTTTTCATGTATTTATTTAAATTTTGTAGAAAATTTGTTTATATTTTTTATGCAATCTATGTATATTTTTATATTTTGTAAAATCTTTAAACTTGTGCTGGTAAAATTGAAATTTAAAGTTTTTCTTTACGTAAAAGTTTTCATATTAAATAAGAAAAAAAAACCCCTCGATTCCCCGCTGGAGATCCCCAGTCCCCGTTGGGGGTGGGGATGAGGGTTTATTTATATTCCCCGATGGGTATGGGGATGGGGATTGGAATGAGAACTCGGGGATGGGGATGGGGATTGGGGTCCCCTGTATTCCCCGCCCCCGTTGTCATCTTTATGTACAACTCCCTCTCTCCATTGACTAAGGATCTGGTCAATTTTTAGCATAAATTGAAGCAGTTCGTGACTGTAATGCTTTCAAATCTATACGAAGATTTGTTTGGAAATGGTGGAAAAGAGCTTCAAAACATGGAAATCTGGAAAGAAATGACGGAGTGTCTAAATGTGAATATAGACGATTTTCACAATGTGAATCTAACAATCTAACACTTAAAAATACTATAAGCAAGACACAGTTAACATTCACATATTAAGTGAATATGAGGCCAAAAAAATCAACAATCCTCCAACCACTCTCGGCATGATGTCTAAATGGCAAACTTGTAATTACTAATCATTTTTTTTTCTTTATAAAGAATTTATTACCATACAAAAGACATAATAATGGTGTAACGTACAATCATCGACCAATAATTGTGGTAAAATCCATAGTAGCGTGAGATGATGTTGTGTCTCCATAGAATGAGGAATCCTTATCCTCTTGTTTTCCCGAGTGGCTTGATGATGTAGGAGTAGCTGATGTGTTATTTTTATCAGATTTAAACTTTGTTAACTCTGAGATTAACCCTGGATCAGATAAATCTTTTTCATCAAGGTCCTTTTCGTCATTTAACATCATCATCACATTAGACATTGATGGTCTGTTTTTTTGAAGTCTTTGGGTGCAAAGTAAGCCAATTTTTAAGTACCTACAAGCTTCATCTTTATCATAATCCTCATCATCATCTTCCATTGAAGTGTCAACCAACCTTTTTAGCTCCCCTTCCCTATATAGTTCCCATACCTGAAAAAAAAATATTAAAATAAATAAATATATATAACTACATTGCTACAATTTAAATAAAAAATTGCATACCCTTTCAAGAAGATATTGTTCTTCAACTGGTAACTGTTTATTTTGATTGGGTTTTCCACTAACAATTTCCAAAAGCAAAATACCAAAACTGTAAATATCTGCTTTCCTTGTCAATTGGCCTCTTATTGCATATTCAGGAGCCAAATAGCCTCTAAAATAACTCATTGCCATTAATAGAAAAAGATTAATAATAATGGAAATAATATTATATTATATTTTTTAATATGTAACGCTTACAGAGTTCCAGCAATACATGTGCTAATATGAGTCAAATGAGATGGAAAAAGCTTTGCAAGACCAAAATCCGAAATCTTTGGTGTAAAATCTTCATTGAGTAAAATATTGCTTGCTTTAATATCCCTATGAATAACATGAGGTTGCACTTCTTCATGAAGATAAGTAAGCCCTTTTGCAACACCTATACAAATCTTCCTTCGAATTTCCCAAGTGAATTTAATGCTACAATGATTCCCCCCTATTACAAAAACCAAAATTATTTTTAAAAAAAAATACAAAGGATGAAAAAAGGTGTGTCGAATTTCAATTACCAAGTAGGGTTTGATCGAGACTACTGTTTTTGAGATACCCATAAACCAAGATTCTATGATCTTTTTCCACACAATAACCATGTAACTTTACCAAATTTTCATGTTGTATATCTGAAATAATAGTTATTTCAGTCAAGAATTCTCGCAAACCCTGTCTTGATTCAGCAGAGAGAACATTTATAGCAACTATTTTTCCATCTTTTAGTAGTCCCTAGAGATTAGCAAATTTATATTTAAGATATTAGTAAGTAGTTTAGTGATAATCTAAACACATGAAGGAAAATAATTAGAAAATTTTGAAATTTACCTTGTAAACAGAACCAAAACCCCCTTGCCCTATCTTATTTTCGGGTTTAAAATCTCCTGTAGCAATTTGCAAATCTTTGTATGTATACAATCTCATATTCTCAACATCCAAAAGTTCTGCATTCAAATAATCAGATATCGTGTAAGTTAAAGACACACCAATTCTTATTAAACCAAAACCAATGTTTTTTCCAATGATCTTAGATGTAGTCTTACCTGTTGCTTCCCCCATTGTTTGCTGAAAATATTCGAGAAAATTACTAGCATTGAATAGGTATATGTAAGTGGAATTGTGGAAAAAAAGTTAAATTTTAACCATTTACCTCTATGAACAAGAACACCGTTTGTTGGGGAAGCTACCATCCCAAAACAACAACTGAATTTAGCCATAACAATGAGTTCTGTATGTTGACTAGTAGATTATGTCAATTGCCCTGTGCTGTGATGCCACAATGAATCTGTAAGAATAAATCGATGTAATGTGCCATTGATGATGCAAATAGAAATCATAATCAGAAGATTCATGGCAGATCATCAACCTTAATCACTAATTTATCACATCATGATTCGAAAATTCAAAATCAGGGCAACAACATAAACAAAACGAAATTCATCTCAAAATTAGGTCCATTTCATCAAGATCAGGATCCTGGAAGAATTTAAAACCAAAAAATTCAAGAGAAATGTCAATAATGGAGATAGAAGAATGATAGGAAAGCTTCCTTTTGACTTTTTGTGGATAGGTAGACGAGTAGCTCGCAGAGGTGTGCAGTGAAGAACAGGTCCCACGGGCCCATGACGTGACCAGGACGGTAGACGACTAGTTCGCACACGATGATGGTCTTTTTTTATTTTTATTTGGGATGTTGGGATTTTTTTTTTAGTTCTCAACATTCGATCCTTAATGAAACGAAATTCAAACATAAACGATTTTCATCATGTGTGAACTAGGAATATCGTTTGAAAACATACAAGCATTAAAGAAAAATTGACCAAAATTAGCCACAATTTTTAGACATTTTTTAAGAGGTAAGCAAAAATGATTTTTTTTTCTTCTTTCTAAACTATAACCACACACTTTTGCTGGCATTAACAACCAACTTATCAATGTTATTCCAAATTTGACCCAAATAACTTATATAGCAACCAACTTATCAATGTTGATCAAAAAGTTTTGAAAACTTAACCGTAGACCGAATCGACCGTCTTATCGGTTCGATGGTTCAATTGGTCAAACCGGTTGGGACCGTCTATAAAACCGGATGATGTCATAATTACATTATTATTAATTTTAATTATATAAAATTACAAAAAATTAAAAAAAATATATTTTTAAAATTCCTGGTTTTTACCGGTTCAACTACCATTCACATAACAAGTGATTTTTTGGCCTATAAAAACCGGTTTCGGGACTGGTTCCCGATTGAACCGGCCGGTCCGATATGGTTTTCAAAACATGGTCAAAAAGTGTCTCAAATAACAATATATATCAACCACTATACAACATGTCTTCTTAGTGAGTATTACAATGAAATGAACATTTTCATTGACAAACAATTTCTAATGACATCTAAGAAACAAACATTTATATTAATCTTGATTAGATTTAGTATTGCTATACTACATAAAGCAAACCCTAACATTTGAAGTAAGAAAATAAATGTTTAACCAAAAATCAACGGATAATTCTAATCCTCACACCTAAAAACACAACCGATAATCCTAAAACTTACAACAAATAAACATTTATGGTAAAGAACAAAACTAACTACAAACTAAGCATATATTCAAGTTCCTATTTTAGGTTTCAAGCTCCTTCTTACAAACCCTGTGAAAATTTTCAAAGAATAATGACGAACGTTTTCATCATCAACCTACCAAATAAACCCGCACTATGGTCCCTATGAAATTTAGAAATAGTGGATTACGGTTAGCAATTGAAAAACTGAAACTATATAGAAGATAAGAAGAGGGAAAATGAAAACTAGGGTACCTTTTTTTGACAATCGTAAAATCATCTTCCAGGGTTATTGTCAGTCCTCGAGGTCCTTATAATCACTTCACTTTCACAATAACAAATCGTCATTTGCTTGATTTAATTGAATAATGATAATACAAAGGGTGTAAACGGAGATAATAGACACGAACTTGAAGAATAAAGAAATGAGGAAGGGTAATATGTTTTTCAAATGACGTGTATAGAAGGTGGAGATAGTAGACAAGAACTTCCACAATCATAATATGTTATTTGCTTTATTTTATATACTTTATATAGAGGTTTTAATATAGTGATAGATGGTGTATTAGGTGTATCCGTGTTGAAATGACAACTCATAATAAATGTATGGAATTTCAAACATTTTGACTAGAACTTATTACATATTAATTGTGAATTCCATACACTTTAATTGCAAATTCATACATTTTGAATGTGAATTAACACCTTTTTACTGTAAATTCTAAAATTTTGAGTGATTCCTAACACTTTGACTATAATTCCAAACACTTTAACTACGAATTTTGACACTTTGACTGTGAGTGACTGAATTCTAACATGTTGATTGTGAATTTTAACATTTTGACTGCAATAAAAAAACATTATGATTGAACGTATTAGCATTTAGAAAGTTATGATGACTATAAATTTGTTTGTTATAAATGAGTTCATGAGGTTGTGTGCACGAAGAAAGCTTTTCTAACCTTCCTGTTTACCTTCATAATTTTCAAATAGCGAACCTGAAAACCTTCACAAACATCAAGAAAGATAGGTGAGACTGTTTTGAGTTCTATATTATAGCTCTAAACTGTATGGTAAGAATGTACGATTCTTTTGTAATATATCAATTGTTTATATCTAATTATAATTTAATTAATATTGATACCACTGATCTTGCAAAAAGCTATAGATTCATATATTTACGTTTGTCATCCTACCGATGATGTAACACTTGAAATTGGTAAGTTTCATATTTAATCTCTATTCTAAAAAGTTTGCAAAATTAGTCCTTAAGCTAGTACGCGGGGCGTACTGGGTGGTACACTTAGTGTACTAACCTGATTATGATCACGAAGCTTATCCACGTACATTGGGCGTACGTGGAGTACATATGGCGTACATGAGCAATTATGAAACCCTAATTTTTAGGGCTTGCACCCTATAAACCTTATGATAGCCTCATTTGGTCATGTTTACCCAACCTCCATATCTTGAAAACCTTAGCCTCGCCCTTAGCCTTTGTTTTGGTGTTCTTGAGCTCTGAAAACTTTTGATCAAAATCCTCAAAATGAAAACTTTTATTGGTATTTTCGGAACGTTACACCAAAATCCTCAAAATTATATTTAATAAATTAAACTTGGAAAAGCATTACCTGAAAAATGGGTGTTACATGATAGCCATTAGTAACGCCATAATTACATAAACATTGTTTTAACCAATGTTGTAAAAATCCCAATTAGGTCCCGATTAATATCCGATTAATCCATAGGCGCTATCCGACCGATTAGAAGGCGCATAACAATTAATCACTGCCTACAAAATGAGTAAGGCAATAGAAAACGATGAAATTTTAACACTTTGAAGAAATTTTATCTCAATAGAAACCATATGAGGAATGGTTAGTGTTGTATTAATCATATTAATATATTTTATTATAATATTAGTGATATTTACAAACTTTGTTATGATATTAGTCATATTTAATTTTTGAAAATTCAACGAATTAGAAATTGATGGTCATCGATTAATCTCCGCCTAACCGATTAATCGCTTAACCACAATCCACAGAGTAGGTAACGTCGAGCGTTTTTTACAACCTTGGTTTTAACTCTTTTGGACTCTCAAACTTCATACCCAAATAGGCTTTATTAGATTCCAAGGTTATATAGATCATGTCTTGGGTAAAAGCTATATATGCAAGATCCTCAAAGGATTTGTGAAACAGTGAATAACTTTCTGCCTCATACATAACATCACAAAGAGTGGGAGGAGGAATGAGGCACATATGTGATAGCGAAAAAGTGGAAAACAACATACCAAGGCTGCGACAATTCTTATGCAACTTGTTGGTTTTAGAAAATAACACTAATAATAGCTAGTTGATCAGAATACGAGGGAAATTTGATACTATAAGCAGTAACACAATCACTACCTATGCATAAATATTGCAACTGTTAGATTTCCCATGTCTTGGAGCATAGGGAATAGACCTTTTGTAAGGAAATCCAGACAACAATGATAGTTTTACACCCAAAGGTTTCAACCATAGATTCCTCAGTCAAAGGAATAGTAAAGAAGGTTGTGCGGACAACGGTCCTGAGCAACCGATCCTTATTTGCTTTCTATATAACGACATGTATAGATGCATTCGTAAATAAAGATGTGACATGACACAAAAACATATGGATAACCAAATAAGTCTTGAGAAATAAAATAAGTCTCCACCTAATTACGATATAAGAGATAATCGGCATATATAAGTTTAATGGTGATCATATGAATATGTCATATGGCAGAGAGGAATCAAAGTCGACCATGATGAAAATGTTGTACCGGTAGAAACGTAGCAAAAGGGATAAACGGAAGAGAATGAACATGTATTAGGGTTTGGAGAAATTTTAAAAAATATATGTGAGGGATACCTTCTTATACCATATGAGAATTAAGAGAATATCACCTTTGCTTACGTGATTGAATAATTTCATATAAATAGAAAAACTATTAAGTTACAATAGATAAATACATGGGCCTAATGTACATAGGCTAAAACTCAAGCACAATTGTACAATGATGTATATAAATGATTATGGGCCAATACATGATGCTATCCACTTTGACCCCCCAAAAAAAGCTTACACTTTAATATCATAGACACCACTATTTTTTAAGTTGTCGTTTGTTTTTCTACAAAAGTATTTTTTGAGCACTTTTCTTTTTTGGCGGGTAGACGTTTTCTTAAGTGCACGTATTCTTCCGCAGACATGAGAAAAGACAAAAGACATTTAACCACTTCCAAAACAATCAACACCTAAATCTCACTAAAATACTACCACATAACCCATAGAAAAACATAGATCCAACCATGAAGGTCACTTGGTTTAAGAGGTTCCTTGTCTCCATGCAATGATGCACGATGTGATTCAAGATAATATTAATTTTGACCCTTTTTCGTTTTGCTTGGGCACTTTTTTGTACGTCGTGACTCAATGACATTTCCATACCATCTTGCTAGATGAGGATTTAACTTGGTCTTGTTTAAGAAGAGCTAACGGATGCTTGACATATACACAGGAATTTAACAAAGCTATTTGTTTCGGTATCCATGATGAAGATTTTTACTTTCCATTTATGTTGTTAAATTTTTCTATAATAATAAAAATAATTGGTTAAAATTTACATTTTAAATTATAAAATTAGAAATCACGGACTGGCGTTTTTGTATTAAAATATGGAAAAACATTTTTAAAACCAAATCTAGGAAACAATGAAGGATTCAAAATCTTGCTGAAATATAAAAAAGTGCAACAATAATTGTCATCATACACACAGCAACACCAATACCAACACCACCACCGCCAATGATTTTGTTTTGAAGAAAATGATGATCAGGATGACGCCATCGTTGTTGCCATCTCGTGTGCTATCGGAATCTCCATAGCCTAATCCTTCAGTCACTTCTACCGACTTACTTGTGAGAAGCGAGACGCGTGTGAGACGATTCAGAAATGCTCTCGTTTGTTTGAGCTGCTTAGTTTCTCTGCATCAGTGCATCGTCAAGCCCTAGTTTCGTCTGAGACGGAAAATGCAGTCCACAGGTTTGATTATCTTCTGATTTATGTATCTCTCTGCTTTTTTCTAGCTGAATGTTACTTGAAATCTTCGAATTGAGGAATTTAGCGGTGGAATATTGTTTTTGTAGTTTAAGTATAATGTCTTCAAGTTCGATCGATGTTATTATCTGCATAAGTTTGATAAGATTCCTTGATTCTTCTGTTGTTTATTTGCTTTGGATCGCCTTTTGAGGTGTTCAGAAGTGCAGCTCGGTGATTCTCCGCGGTTTTGTTGAGAGTTCTATAACTACTTCTCGTACATCTACCTTCGTTTAAATTAGACGCCTTGTGTTATTGCAGATGGCGTGATGTTCATAGGTTGGTCTTAAAACGCACAGATTGTCACATCCTGTTAAGATCTGTATTTTTGTTAAATGCGTGTTCTGAAGTTCATTAAATCAAGGAAGCAAAAGAGATCTTTCAAATGAAGGGGCATTGCATCAGGTCCTTGAAGATGTTGTTAAGCTGCAACATCGAGAACTTACATGATGATTGTTTCGAGGGCTCAATGGATGAAAACTACATTTTTAGAGATGTGTTCTTTGGACATGGAGATGGTAGAGGTACTAAGAGCTGTTTTGTAACTGGAGCAATCACTTTTGAAAATGAAAAAAGGAACCCTAAAGACATCTCATTTCGTTCAGACAGTGACAATTCAGTCATGACAAGTCAGCTGGATTCTATACAGTGTAGCACCTCTGAAGAGTTTGCTTCATTAACAAGAAATGACCCTGATATGGAAGTTAAAAGAAGAAAAGTGTCATCCGAAGAACATTCTGTTACTAAACCTGTTAAACCTTCTAAGCCAAGATGGAAAGATTCTTCATTTATCGAACTTGATAAAGATGAACTACTATTTGTCACCCCTATAGATTCCACCATGGATCCTAAACCTCTTTTGCGTTATTACACCTATTCCTTACTTAAATCAGCAGGTTGGTTAATTGGGAGGAGAAACAGAATCACACATTGTAAAGGGCGTGGAGAATACGTCTTCAAATCTCCAGAAGGAAGGCCAATTCGGGAATTTTACAGAGCTTGGAACATGTGTGGACACGAGTTAGTTCAAGATTCAAAATATGATTGTGTACGTGATGACATAAAGTGGACAAATTTCCCTCAATTTCAATCTGATCTTTCCAATGCATTGACCAAAGTCAAAGAATTGATAAATTCAAAAACAGTGACTGATTTAGCTCATTGTTGGTACTTACTTGATCCCTTTGCAAAAGTAGTGTTTATTGACAAGAGTTTGACTTGTCTAAAAGAAGGGAAAGAAGTCAAAGGAAAGAGAAGTTTGGTCAATGTTTCGTATTTGAAAAAACAGAAAGCAAAAAACAAGAAAAAAGGGAATTATCATATCAAGGACGATGACCTTTTACTCTCGGCTATATTCAGTAATCGTTCCACTACTACAAAAAAGAACTCTCGTGTTCCAAAAGCTGTGAGAAAGTACAATACTACCCTTGGTGTAAGAACAGTATTGTCTTGGTTGATAAATCTTGGAGTTATTCATATCAATGAAGTGATCCAGTACAGGAACCCACAGGATGATACAGTGATGAAGCATGGTTTAGTAACACAAAATGGTATTTTGTGTAGGTGTTGTAAAAAAGTTCTTTGTGTTTCTGAATTCAAGAATCATGTTGGTTTTAGCGTGGATAACAACACATGTTTGAATCTTTTTATGGAATCTGGAAAGTCTTTCACTTTATGCCAGCTGGAAGCTTGGTCAACTGAATACAAAGCTAGGAAAAACGCCACACGGGATGTACAGGTGGCGGTTGACCAAAGTGATGATACTTGTGGACTTTGTGGTGATGGAGGCGAGTTGATATGTTGTGATAACTGCCCTTCAACTTTTCATCAAACATGCTTGTCTACACAGGTTGGTTAAGTTTCCTCCATTTATATTATTTTGAATCAAAACTATGTAGTTTTGATGATTGTGGTTTTCCAGGAGCTACCTGAAGGCAATTGGTATTGTTCAACTTGCTGTTGTTGGAGTTGTGGGGATGTAATCAATCATATTGAGTCTTCAGTCTTTAAAGCTCTGAAATGTTTGCAGTGTGAACGTAAATGTACGATTCTGCCCTTATCAACCAGATTACAAGCTTGTTTCTTATCAATGTCTTTAATCACACCATTGTTTATTGTCAACCAGATCATTGGGAATGCGTCCAAGGGAATGAAATCGAGGGAGATTTGGTGGGTCCCACCTGGTTCTGTGGAGAAACCTGTAAAATGGTAAATACACATTAATGAAGGATGGAATTGAATTTCCTCCTTTTGGCAACCAAACACACCATGGAATGGAATCTTGGATTCCAATTCCGCCGGAATCCACAAACCAAAAATAAGAATTTAAAGAAATCTGATGGAATTGAATTTGATTCATTTGGCAACCAAACATGCAACAGAATGGAATCTCGAATTCTAATTCCATTGGAATCCACAACCCAAACACGCATTTAATCTTATTAACTTAATATGTATATCTTCTACAGATACACTCAAGTCTTCATTCCCTGATTGGATGTCGGAATCCAATTTCCGATGGTTTCTCATGGACCCTTTTAAGGTGCATTCATGGTGACCAAAAGGTTCATTCCACTCCGACTTTCGTTGCTTTGAAAGCGGAATGCAATCTAAAACTAGCAGTTGCTCTTACAATCATGGAGGAATGCTTTCTTCCTATGGTGGACACAAGAACCGGAATCTACATGATTCCCCATGTATTATACAACTGGGGGTAACTTTATTAATCCATTTTCATCACTCTTTAAAAGATTTTGCTTTATAGAGTAAATTACATATTTGGTCCCCGAGTATAGATGATTTTTGCAATTTTCGTCCCAAAAAGTTATAAACCCTATTTTTTTACCCCAGTTTGAAGCTTGTGAGTTCAAACATGAGACCACACCATTTTTGGGTTTTTTTAGTTATAAACTGGTATACTTTTTTTTTTTTTTTTTTTTCAGTTTTGGTCCAAGGGCAAAATGGTCAGTTAAAAATATTTAACACCTAGATTGTTAACGTAGATGGCACAGGGACCAAAATTGTTAGGAAACTTCAAAATAAGGACCAAATTGCAAGAGAAAACTTATCGGGACCAAAATTGCAAAAAGAGCTATACTCAGGGCCAAAAATGTAATTAACGCTACATTGTATAACAATTTTGCTAAAGGATTGTTATGTTCAACTTTTTGCAGATCTGAATTTGTTCGTCTCAACTATGAGGGATTTTATACAGTGGTCCTTGAGAAAGATGACATTTTACTGTGTGTTGCATCCATAAGGTCCTTTTAATACATCTTACAAATATTTTTCTTTATAAAAAACGTTACAAAAACCTGAAATAAGGGCCAAAATTGCAAAAATGAAAATTCAGGGACCAAAACTGTAATATGGTTATATTGTTTGTTTAGGATCCATGGGACAACGGTTGCAGAGCTGCCCCTGATTGCAACATGCAGTAAATATAGGCGGCAAGGAATGTGCAGGCGCCTCATGAATGCTATTGAAGAGGTAACTAATTAACCGACTGTCTAACAAACTAGGAAGAAAGTGAAATGACGAAAATGACCTTGGTGATGTGTTTGTGTTTGTTGTCAGATGCTGAAGTGGTTTAAAGTTGAGAAGCTAGTGGTGTCTGCAATCCCTAGTTTAGTTGACACGTGGACAAAGGGATTTGGTTTTTTAGGTTTGGAAGGTGATGAGAGAAAAAGGCTGGAAAAAAGTAATCTCATGGTGTTCCCGGGAACTGTATGGCTGGAGAAGCCCATGTACCAGAAACCAGAAGGAATTAATTTCCATTAGACATGATTTTTGGTGTTAAATCTGAATGATTGAAAATTTTGTATGCTAAAAAAAGTATAATACAAATGGAACAGGAAATCATGTTGTTGCTTTTAGTAACAAAAAAAAAAAAAGTATATAAAACTTTCAAGTCTACAAAAAATCATTTGTTTGGTTCAACCATTTAGTATAATACTATGTAAGAACAAAATTAATGGAATTTTCTAAGTAAAATAAAAATTATATTATAATATCTAATCAAATCCTTTGTTAGATGATAAATTACTTGATTAGGTTATAATCTTCTACTATATTTTTAGAGACATTTCACACATTTTTAGGTTATAATCAATTTTTCTCCATATAAAATAATTTATGTTTTAAATATTATATTATATAATTCTATAAAACAGAAATGGTTATGTATGAAAAAACCAATTGTTTACAAATCACCTAAAGAGTAAACGGGCAGAAACCAAATAAACCGTCATAACGAACCTAATTTCACCTCCTTCCTGCCTAACCTACAGATCTCTGTGAATCATACACTTTACTTCTATCAATTTCCCTCTGTCAATGATCTCAAATCACAATTCTCGATCTCCACATCAAAAACCCTAGATTCATTACAATTTCTAGGGTTTTTTACAATGCCGATGCCCTCATCCAGGAAGTTCTTCCATGCTCGTCATCCATCTAACATAGGTCGTAGATCAGTCGTGCTAACTCTCTGTTCCTTGATTGGTTTGTTATTCATCGGCATTGTCGTTCTGAGACAAGATATCACTGGAGTATATAAATGTAAACATAGTAAACCTATTTCGGTGTCTGTGGTTTGGGATAGAAGTGGTGGTTCTAGCGATTTGGTTTCTGAAGGAGATCAGAATAGGCATAAGGTGATGGGTTTTGTTGGAATTCAAACAGGTTTTGCATCGGCTGGTAGACGGCGATCATTGCGGAAGACTTGGATGCCTTCCGATCATCAAGGCCTTCAACGGTAAGAGTTTTAGATTTAGTTTCCGTATTTCAATCTCAGAAGTAGCCGGAGTTTGCATATCAGTTGTTCGATAATCATTAGATCAGGAATTCCATTTTATTGCTTTAATGGAGCAACCTTATGCAGCTTGGAAGAAGCAACTGGCCTGGCCTTCAGGTTCATCATCGGTAAAACTAAGGATTCATCAAAAATGGCAGAGCTCAGGAGAGAGGTGGAGGAATACGATGACTTCTTGCTTTTAGACATTGAAGAGGAGTACAGTAAGCTCCCATACAAAACGTTAGTTCTCTAATGGCAGATCCAAATAACCCAATCCTCTTCACTATCTAAACTTCATACTAATTTTTATCTCCATTACAGGTTAGCTTTCTTCAAAGCTGCATATGCACTTTATGATTCTGATTTTTATGTTAAAGCTGATGATGACATATACCTACGACCAGGTAACTAGTTAACTTTTCCAAATCGTAATATTAAAGAGTGCAAATGTGTAAAAAGCTTCTCATGTTCTTGTTACATTTATTGCTAGATCGCCTCTCACTGCTTCTGGCTAAAGAACGCCATCACACACAGACTTATCTTGGATGCATGAAGAAAGGTCCTGTGTTCACTGACCCAAAGCTCAAATGGTAACCTTTTTTAAACATTTCCTCTTGCAATTTTGGTTTTTATTTGAGGTTTTTATAATTCCTTTTCCTTTTCCTATGTATTTAGGCATGAGCCACTAGGGTATATGCTTGGGAAAGAGTACTTTCTCCATGCTTATGGTCCAATATATGCTCTTTCTGCAGACGTTGTTGCAAGCTTGGTTGCTTTAAGAAATAACAGGCAAGTAACAAGTTTCTTCTTCTTCTTTTTCATTTTTATAAAAAATTAAATTTGTTTCCATATAATGTGATGTTTTTAAGTTTATTTATATTTTTTCAGTTTTCGGTTGTTTAGCAATGAGGATGTTACAATTGGTGCATGGATGCTTGCAATGAATGTGAATCATGAGAATAATCGTCAACTTTGTCAACCAGAATGCACCACTACATCTATTGCTGTTTGGGATATTCCCAAATGTTCAGGTCTCTTTCTTTTCTTTTCTTTTCTACCTTCTTAGTGAGAGTGAGTAAAATGACCGTTTTACCCTTTGGATATCACAGGACTGTGTAACCCTGAGAAGAAGATGTTGGAACTTCATCAAATGAGCATGTGCTCAAATACTCCAACTTTGGTATCAAGTGAGTGAGATGAGAATTTTTAGAGTTTATAGTTGGTTCACTCTTGTATTATATACAAATTAACAAACACAGTTGTATCAGAAAACTTCTTTGTTTTTAGGGCATTTATCCAGGATGTAGTAGTAATAGTATTCACAATGTTTGTTGATAGAATGTTTTTGGGAGGAATGAAATTTGTCATAGAAACTGGAATTGGAATATGAAGGGTAATCATAATTTTGTCATGCGTATGCGTTTCGTTGGTAGAAAATGGAATTGAATTCAATAATAAAAATTAAATATTCTTAAAATTCTATTTTATTTTTATAAATATCTGTCTTTATTGTAAAGAGAAAACTCCATAAAAGTCCTTTGTTATTCAATTAAGTCTCAAAAACCGGCAATTGTATTCATTTTGACCATTTTACCTAGTTACCCAACTTTCAAAATTTACACTTTTGGCCTAGATTTTAACTTTTATTACAAATTTGGTCCAAAATTTACACTTTTGGCCTAGATTTCAAAATTTTGTTACAAATTCATCCTAATTTTTTTTTTTTTACATCTTTTTCAAAATTTTGTTTTGAATATGTTTTTCTTGTTGTATAAAATCATATGTATAAAAAAACATATATAAAATAATAATTGTTTGGAGTTATTATTTGTTGGTAGCAATTTTGCGCGATGGTTGCAAATTTATTTGGACATTTTTTAAGTAGGCACAAAATTGAAAACATGCAAAAACAATCTTGGCATTTTGACAACCACTAAGTTTAGAAACAGTCTTGGCATTTTGTCGACCACTAAGTTTAGATAAAAAGGACGAATCTCAATAGAAAACATGCAAAAACAAGCTAATTAAGCGTAAATTGAGAAGGAAGATTTTGGTCCTTGCATTTGTAAAAGGTGGATAAACTATAAAGACTTTATAACCAATCTTGACCATACCTAATTGTTTAATTAGACAATAAAGTGGCATATCAATCATACTGATAATGAAACCTCCATGGCATACTTGTAAAAAATTAAAGCTCTTATATAATTATTAATTTGTCCTTAACTTTATATTTTAATATTGTGAAACATAAGGGGGAAATTACAAATATCATATATGTTTGACTTCCCTGGATATAGTTATTGAAGTTAAGCTAGATGTAGAAGATTGCCCTACTCTATCTCTAACCAAATTGTGCAGATGATTACGATTTTTGGTGTAAATTTGACAAAGTCCTTCGTAAACGAAACTATTCGGTATATGGAATGAAGTTCAAAATAGATGTGTGATCCGAAAAGTAGATCATAATGATCAAGGATATCAACGAGAAAATGCATTGAGGTTTATGGGAGCCACTTGCTAAATAGTTTGGAGAGTTCAAAAACTGTTCATCTTTATGAAGAAAGTTTTCTCCATCTATTATAATATGTGCCCATTTATAGTTTTTATTAGGGATATTCGTAAAAAAGTATCATTATTTACACAAAATTTAACAAATTTATCAATTTTAGTTTTGTGCCCTACTTAAAAAATGTCATATCAAATTTGTAACCATCACAAAATGGCTACAAACAAATAATAACCCTAAGCAATTATTATTTTATATACGTTTTTTTTGTATAAATATGATTTTATACAACAAAAAAAATATATTTGAATATTTTTTTTTTTGAAAAAGAAAGATTTAAAAAAGTAAATTTATGATGAATTCGGAGCAAAATTTTGTAATATGGACAAAAAATGTAGACTTTAAACCAAATTTGTAATAAATTTTAAAATTTTGGCCAAAAGTGTAATTTTAGAAAGTGGGATGACATGTTGATCGGGTAAAAATGTCAAAATGAATACAATTGCCAATTTTTGGGACTTAATTGAATAAAAAAAGAATCATATAAAGACTAATCAATTATGATGCCAAAAGATAAGAACTTTTAGTAAGTTTTCCCTATTGTAAATATATGTAAAATGAAGATATTTTTGTTTGAAATAAAAAAAATAGAAGATGGAATTGAATTCCATTGACCCTCCCAAAGCAATGATGAAATCCATTAACATGGAGTTTGGAATTTAATTTTGTCCATTTGGCAACCTATGGAATGGAATCTCAAATTCCAAATCTGGGATTCCATATAGAATTGAATTCAGTAACAAAATCAGATATTTTTAAATATTTATATATAATGAGGGTATCTTATTGGTCTTTTAATAAAAAAAAAAAGAAGGATAGAATCAAATTCCGTCCCTCCCATAAGAATAATTAATCCATCAAAAACAAAATTTAACTCTATCTATTTGGCAACATATGGAATGGAATCTTGGATTCCAATTCAGTCAGATTCCATCACAATCCACGAACAAAACACATCTTTAAATGTTGTATTTCATTTCAATCCATACAGATCTTAGTTCACCAAACCAATAACAAATTTAAAAAAAAATGAAAATCAATAATAATAAAAAAAAAGCAGAAAATGATGCATTATTATTATACATCTGCAAACAATAATAGATCATCCAACAAGACAGTGGTTCCTATGTGTATATTAACACCTCAAAATTCATCCTCTTACACAACAAAACAACAAACCACAAAAATCCATCACTCATCTCCCACTATTTTCTCACTCACTTCTTTCTCCTCCACATCACCTGCCACGTGGCTGACAATCTCACCAGGTACTACTTTTTCATTATTTTCTTGAATCATTTTAACATCTGCACTTACTGTTCTTGAAGGTCCCAAAACAGGGGACATGGTTGTTTCAGAAGAAACTCCTGAATTCTTTGGTTTATTCAAGGCATGACAATGGGGACAATAGTAAGTAATAAAAGGAAATTCCTCCTTTCTCACAAGTCCTGTTAACATATACACAACTCATTATTACATTTTGAATATTAATTCTTTAAAATTAAGATGGGGATTTTCATTTACTCACCATTATGCATATGACAATTCCCACATATAAGTGCATATGATTGAGTTGGGTCTTCTCCCACAAGCATTGCAGCAATTCGAGCAATCCAACCACCATCTTGACCACTTAAAGTTGCAGGATCATGATGATCAACAACAAGATCACCATGTGAAGATCTCTCAGAAACCCCATCTCCAATTTCTGTTTCTGATTGCTGATTTACTGTATTGCTTCCTTGAGATTTAAGGTTTGATTGATTTCGTTTCCTGAGACCAGTAGTTTGATGCACCTCAACCTCGTTGTTCTTCTTTGTGGCATACGGATTTGGTTGTGATTCGTCTCCAAGAAACATTTTCAGGCCTGAATCTGCACCCAGTTTTGATGCAAGAACAGATGCAGCTGCTGCTTTTGCTGCTGGATCAGGATCATATTTCTGCAACACGGGTTGAAATTTGAAGATAAGAAACAAGAGCATGTTTCTATAGGAGGAGAGGGAGAAGAAGATGTGTACAGTGTAGTACCTGAATGAGTTGTTGAGTAATGTAGTAATTAGTCCTTTCTTTAAGTTCATCGATTTTTGCTTGCCTTTCAGCTCGAAGCCTCTCTAATGCTTTCTGATCCCTTCGATCACCTATAAATCAAAGGAGAAGATAAGAATTTGGGGTTTATAGGGATGGATGACAAATATGTAGACTTACCGAATCTCGTGAAGCTCAAAAGTCCATAATGCAGAGCGAATGATATGGCAGGAAGAAGAAACATTGGTAAGACTCGCAATGATCTCGTTCTCCAGTCCATGTTTACTGTTCTTGTTGTCATGATAGCATAACCAATTGCAACAAACTGTGCCGGAACAAATAGAATTTCAATTTCGACGGATAACTCTTAGTTTATGGCAATAGAGCAAGAGATCAGGCATCGATACAAGCTAGGGTTTATGGTAATGAGTAAAGGAATTACCTCAAGGATAACAGAGAAGATGATTATGTTCCTGGCTGTTCGCCTCCATCTCAGAGCTCGCCTCTTCATTCGCGAAAGAAGCGTAGCCTCTTCTTTAGATATATACTGCAGTCTCTTCTCAAAATCATCGCTTCGTGACCTAAACACTGTATTCCAAATTCGAGAGAAAATTCCGCTCTTCTTCTTGCTCTTGTTCTTATTCTTATCATCGGTCTTCTCTCCAACCACTTCCTTCACCTCTTTCTCGTCGGCCATTAGGGTTTATCCAGACAAATCGGAACTAAAACAAAACGAAAATGGCAACAACAGATCCAGATCAGAATATTAAACAGCTACACTTGCTCAAACATAGAAACTCTAAACAAGTTTATCATATTGAGAGAGACAATCGCGTTGGATCGCGTACCTGGAAATCGAAGAAATGTATAATATTTTGGGTATTGAATAGTTCGAAACTAATCAGTGGTTTTTGGTCGATCGATAGGCAATCGAAGTAATGGATTAGCCGATTGTGAATCAAAAAACATAAAGAATTAAGAAAAGGGAAGATCGTGAGAGAGAGAAAGGGAGAGTGATGATGCCCTGCCAATGAGGCTATTCTATTATTCAAAGTAGTAGGGTTTGGCTGGAAAGGGTCCGCTTGACGCTTCACAACCTGGGAGCAGCAAACACGTATCGCAGGCCGTCGTCGACACACTCGCGACGGTTTGATAATATAATAGCGACGGTAAGTTTTTTTTCTGCAAATTAATTCATTATGTAATTTGGTATGACAAATTTCTAAAAAATTACCAAAACCCTAAGCTTAGTGCTAAAAAATGAAAAAAAAAAGCCATTCCCAAAACTAACCATCAAAGTCCACAAAAACCAAAAAAAAAAAAAGTTCATTTAATTAATAAATTGTAAAACCAAAAAAATCCGCATGAGAAAATAAATATGCAAAAACAAAAATGTGGTACTTTTAATTAATAAATAAAGAAAAAAATAAATTAAAAAGGTAATAAAAGTATAGTAACCAGCTGAACTAGCCACCAAACACGTCTATCGGTCCCTATAGCAAATCAGACCCAATCTTTATCCCTATCAATTGGCATTGTTATGATCGATATGATTGTCCATGGAACATTTTCAAGTCTTCTTTCCATGAGTAAAACACTCCCATAAATTAAATGATTCATAATGCAGGAAAAAAATGTTATTTTTTGAAAAAACAAATGAAAAGTGTAAACAACATGACAAAATAAGAATAATATAATAACAAACTTACCGTGGAATCCAACCAACCACACAGACGATCCCATAAATCATATCCTTATGCACTCAGAGAGAGCCTATGTTTTATGTAAATCGATTGATCGTGTGAGAATACAAGTCTCGGG